CCCACTCCTTCCTTCCTTCCTTCCCTCCTTTCCTTCTTCTTTCCTTCTGTCTCTCCCTCCCTCCTTCCTTCCCTCCCTCTCCCTTTCTTCCTTCCTTTCCTCCCTCCTTCCTTCCCTCCCTCCTCTCCTTCCTTCCTTCCCTTCTCTCCTTCCTTCCTTCCCTTCTCTCCTTCCTTCCTTCCTTCCTTCCTTCTTTCCTGTAATCCTTGAATTACAAGTATAGTCTACAAATTACAATGGCACTGAAAAAAGTGCCATGGCATTTATGACCATCATGGCATTTATGACCATCACAGCCTAAAGTCATGGCATTTATGACCATCACAGCCTAAAAGTTGGGCCCTTGGCAACCAGCATGCGGTTGATCACCAGCATGCGGTTGACCATCTCAGGGATCTTCCAACAAGAGAAGTCAGTGAGGGAAACCAAATTCACTTAATGGAACTGGTGATTCGCTTAAGAACCATGACCAAAAAAAAAGGATTTCAAATCAAAGACTAAAAGACCACATATACATATATATATATATATAGTTCTCCTCTTGGTGATTTTATGAGTCCATCTGTTTGGTTTTCTTAGCAGAAATATAAAAGCGATTTGAGGATGGTTTTAGTCCGACTAATCTCTAGTCTCCCCTTCAAATATTCCCCAAGCCTAACTCTGCTGGAAACCAGCAAAAACCATCTTTATGCAGATCAGACTATCTTGCAGAGCAAGAAAAAAAATATCAGCTGTTCGCAAGCTCTGTTTCAAAGTCATCTTTGAGGGGGGGAAAATTGCAATTTGATCAATTAGCTTAAGGGTTGTTGTTTTTTGCTTTTTTTTAAGAAAAATGATTTTACAGCATGGAAACGTACTTGGAATATGAATCCAAGTAAAATGGGAAATGCTAAAAACTGTACGATGTCTTCCTTGTGCTGGCTGCACTCGTTGACAAAACAACATTAAAAACGAACTTCTGACTGAAAAGGAGAGCACGGCTCGTTCCTTTAAACTCAGAAACACAAGGAAGCTGATCGTTGAACCCTCTCCCAAACCTTCACAGGAAACCCAACAAAAGGATTGTTGGCTTGAGGTAGGGATTCTCAACTTTCTCGGCTAAGATTGGAGTACGATTATCACTGTTCCCACTGACCAAGCAGGTCGATGGGATTGTACTCTATGGATATAGAACACAGAACCATAGGGCTGGAAGAGACCTTGGAGGTCCTCTAGTCCAACCCCCTGTTCAAGGCAGGGGACCTTGTCCCACCCTTGCCAAATGGTTGTCCAGTCTACGTTTGGAAACCTTCAGCGATGGAGCACCCACAACTCCAGGAGGCAAGCAAGCATCAGAAGAACAGTATAACAGAGTTGGATCCTGGAGGTCTTCTAGTCCAACTCAAAGAAGAAGCCCTATACCAGTGGTGGCAAACCTATGGCACGGGTGCCAGAGGTGGCACTTGGAGCCCTCTCTGTGGGCACACGTGCCGTTGCCCCAGCCTTGCCTCCCCCTGCGACCCCCTCCTCACCAGCAGCCCCCCTGGAGGAAAGTCGCCCCCGAGCGTGGCCCATGCGGAGCAGCACAGCCAAAGACATGGCAGCCAGGCAGCGTAGACAAGACTCTGCCCTCATGGCCCATCGCACACATTTGATGCTGTGGGGCATGAGCAGAGGGCGTGGCCGCCATGGCGCTGCTGGGCTGCCTGGGCGATCTGCGGCGGGCCCTGGAGGCAATGAGTGGCCCTGCGGGCAAGCGGGGCAGGGGGTGGAGCGGTGGCGGGGCCAGTTTTCGGGCACTTGGTCTCTAAAAGGTTCGCCATCACTGCCCTATAATATTTCAGACGAATGGCTGCCAGTCTATTTGATGGATCGACTGATGGTTCTCACTGTCAGAAAATTCCTCCTTGGTTGGATGTCTCCTTAACAAGCTTCCGCCTGTTATTTCTTGTATTTTGGAGAATAAGTCGATCCCCTCTTCTCTGCAACTGCCCCTCAAGTACTGGAAGACAGTTAGCGTGTTCCTCCTCATCCTTCTCTTTGTTAAAGTACACATACCCGGTTCCTGCAACCATTTATCATATGATTTAACCTCCAGACCCCTCCTCATCTTTGTTGCTCTTCTCTGCACTATTCTAGGGACAGGGGTAGGCAACCTTGGCTCTTTTATGACTCGTGGACTTCAACTCCCAGAATTCCTGAGCCAGCATGGCTCAGCTTGGAAACCTCTCCCTTTCCCGTCAGCATGGCTGGCTCAGGAATTCTGGGAGTTGAAGTCCACGAGTCATAAAAGAGCCAAGATTGCCTACCCCCCTGCCCTAGGGTCTCAACCTCTTTTCTGTATCATGGTGACCAGCACCAGATGCACTAGACTAGGCCAAGTACGGCTTCACTACTTCTCGCGATGTTGAAACGATTCCTCTGTCGATATCTGAGGAGTAGCCTTCATAGACCATTACCCTGACATGCCGCTTAGTTCTAACTGACTTTGTTTCTCACCTCTTTCGTGGTGGCTTCCATCTCTTCGATACACTGGACGTGGTCCCGCCAGAACTCCGTCCCATTCAGCAGCACCCAGTTCCCGTCAAGCCCACATTTGCGGCTCACGACGCCCTGTTTAACTGCAAGCACAAAGAGCCAGAATCAGCGAGGACTCTCCACCTGTCTGCTTTATTTTCACCCCTTGTCCTACGGGCAGAAAAGAAGGTGTCTGTAAAGACAGATGGAATTCCTAGGGAAGCCCTTTTGCACAGGGCCTCTCTAGGACCTCATCTATCACAAACCCATTCAGTGTTAATTACATGACATGGGTGACGAGGAGAGAGGGGTTGTCTGGATTGGATGACTGGCTTAGGGTGTCTGTGCAACCGATTAATCTGCAGCAATCCAATTAAATGGGCTCTGTAATAACTCTTTGGGATATTAAGAGGGAGTTTTGCATTAGTCACCATCTTCCCACTCTGAAGAAGCCAGAGTGGGAAGCAATACAGAGAGGGAGAGATTGCATGTGCGAACACACAACTCATGCGACCAGAAGCCTTAGCAATGCCCATGTTGGTTAGGAAATCTTGGGTCCCCAACTTTTTAGGGCACCTTAGGTTAGAGGAAGGCTGTTTTGAAGAGTCCCGCCAAGAGGTTCAAACATCTCAAGAGCTTTAAAACCTAGAGAGCTCAACCTGCTTCACACAACTGTTTTATTTATGAGGATCAATATGGGACCAAAAAAGGACACGGTTAGAATCTTTAAGAGCTCCAAACTGCTCTATTTTGTGCCTTGGTTGACAGATTACTGTACACAAGAAGGTTTTCACACAACAGCCTGGCATAGGCACCGTATTCTCTTATAGCCACCAGATGGAGCAGCTATCAAAGAACGCCTTACTGAGTAGCCCAGAAAGGATGGAGGAATATCTCTGTGATGTCTGGGGGGATTCTGGGACTTGATATCCAGAACATTTTTAAAACTATTATTTATTTAGTTCAATCTGAGTGCTGCCCAACTCCAATTTCAACTCTATCAAAAGATACCAGGTAATGATGTAAAGCAGAAATAGGCAGAAGATGGGTTGGGATGTTTTGGCAGACCGTTCCTTGCTGAAGTTTAGTATAATTTAAAAAAAACAAAACCCTCAAAAACAGCAACATACTTTTCTTAAATTACACTGTTGAAATTGGAAGTAACTACAAGCAGCTTTGTGAGTAGAGTAGAGCAGAGCAGAATAGAGTTGACTAGAATAGAAAGAATAGAGTAGAAAGAATAGAACAGAACAGAATAGAATAGAATAAAAAGAATAGAGTAGAGTAGAGTAGAAAGAATAGGATAGAATAGAATAAGAGTAGAATAGAATAGGAGTAGAATAGAATAGAATAGAATAGAGTAGAGTAGAGTAGAGTAGAGTAGAGTAGAGTAGAGTAGAGTAGAGTAGAGTAGAGTAGAGTAGAGTAGAGTAGAATAAAAAGAGTAGAGTAGAATAGAATAGAATAGAATAGAATAGAATAGAATAGAATAGAATAGAATAGAATAGAGTGAGTAGAGTAGAGTAGAGTAGAGTAGAGTAGAGTAGAGTAGAGTAGAGTGGAGTGGAGTGGAGTAGAGTAGAGTAGGATGGGACGGGATGGAATAAGGAATGGAATGGAATAGAAGACTAGGATAGGATAGGTGTTATCTGATTGGTCCTTAGGCAACATCCCTTTCCCTGATCCCTCAAAGCCACCACTGTTAACCATCTGATCAATTAGGGCAGGTCCTTCTTAAGTTTCTACCTCTGATCGTTAAGCCATTGGGGGGGGCTCCTGCCTCTTTTCTCTGATTGTGTCATGGCATCTCTTCCCCCTGTCCCCCAAGATCATCTGCACATTCCATTACAGATGAAAAAGAATCTCATATGGTCCTAAGGTGGTTCAAAACTGTAGCTTGGCAAAATCCCCACTCCTGATCATTTGGTTAGATTTTCATGGGAGCAAAACAACGCAGAGCAGTTATGCAAAAGTTAGATTGGATGGACATTTTATAATATGGATGTTTTGGATTGATGGAGCAGTTCTTCCACATTTTCACGTTCTTGTTTTTTCATTGAAAAAGGAGGAGATGAAACAAACTCAACTTCAGTGTATCTAGGAAGCAATCTACTTGGGATCTTTTGCTGATCCCTTTCCAAGCACCCCAAGATCCAACCTTACTTACCTTTCTCGTACCAGGGTAGATAGAAAGGACAAGATACGTTGACAATAGCTCCTGGATTCCCATCTGGCCAGCATGCATACATATCGAATGTTCGGTTGCAAAAGAGGCCTGCAAGGCACAGAAGCAAGACTGTTTGGGTAGGACGACCTTGATTTAACTGGGTTTAGGACTAGAATACCCACAAGCATCTAAATACTCACAGTCAACAGTATTGATACCCTGAAACTCTCTAGCTCTATTCATTCAACTATTCATTCTGGCGTACATTGTTGCGTATACCATGGACAGCCTGAACAACCAACAGGAGGTGCCGAATCATATAAAGCCAGACACATCACTGGAAGCCCAAATCACAAGACTGTGTCCAATTTACTTTAGCCATGCCATACATGCAAATTCATTGGAGAAGTCAATGATGCTAGGAATGGTTAGTGGAATAAGAAGAACATGTTGGCTTGATAACATCAAAACTGATACAAAGATGAACGTCCAACAACTGAAAGAAGCTCTGTTTGATAAGATAGCATGGAGAGCACTTGCCTATAAAGTCGCCAAGAGTCAGACATGACTGGATGGTTAAAATAACATTCATTCATTCATTCATTCATTCATTCATTCATTCATGTATGTCTAGTCTAATAAAAAGAAGGACTAGAGGTGATATGATAGCAATCTTCCAGTACTTGAGGGCCTATCACAGAGAAGGGGTCAATCTATTCTCCAAAGCACCTGAGGGCAGGACAAGAAGTAATGGGTGAAAGAGAGAAGCAACCTAGAACTAAGGGGAAATTTCCCTGACAGTGAGAACAATTAATCATTGGAATGCTTGCCTCCCAGAGTTATGGATGGTCCATCACTGGAGGTTTTCAAAAAGTGATTGGGCAGCCATTTGTCTAAAATGGTATAGGGTTTCCTGCTTGAGCAGTGGGTTGGACTAGAAGACCTCCAAGGTCCCTTCCAGCTCTGTCCTCCTGTAATTTTACTCTCAAAGACACCATTGTTTCTGTGACTGACAGTTCACCAAAGACACAGACTCTCACCTGAAGGATAAGGATCATTGGCCATCTTCTTCATACATTCATCTTTATATCTCAACCACTGGTCAAATGTCTTCTCTAGAATCTTTGCGCTGCAACTCTGCATAAAATTAGACCTTTATTAGTCTTGTCAGAAGCACAATATTCAGAGCATACTATCACTATCTAGATTTCATTCGCTCTGTTTCCCTGGTGCTAGGGCCATGTGGTTCTGGTGTTCTGGAACAACACTGCGAGGTCTCAAAACTGGCACCTTTGCTCTAAAGCAGGGGTGTCCAACCTTGGCAACATTAAGACCTGTGGACTTCAATTCCCAGAATTCCCCAGTCAATCAAAATCCATTCAACGACTGGCTTCCTCTGAGTGAGGAAAGATCATGCCAGATAATACACTGTGTTCATTTTATTCATGTACACCAGATATGTCAAACTCGCGACGTCACGTGACGTCGCGCGAACATATCGGAGCTTTTTCCCTATTGCCAGCAACGGGGTGGGTGCGGTTTCCTCATGACGCATCCAGCACGCGGGCCGGCAGTTTGACACCCCTGATTTACACTATGTGCCTCCAGCCTGATTTCTGTACTGATAGATAAGACATTCTTGGACAAGGGGAAAGTGATGCCCACTCAACACTCAGATTTGACCACGTGTGAATGGAGACCAACTCTTTTCTTCTTTTGGGAGAAGGACTAAAATCCTCAGCCAGGATTTCGAATGAAGGAGGAAGATCTCCACTTGCTTCTAGAATGGTTTCTATTAGCTGACTTATCTCCTCTTAGCCTCTTTTGTTTTAATCCATTGACTGAGATCCTAGCCCTGATGAAGTATAGACACTTGCTGTTTTTCATTAAAGATATACTACTGAGCATCTTATTTTTCTTCAATGAAAAACAGTTCAGTTGGAAAACTCATCCAAGAAACTCCTTCTGTTTTCTGCCCAATAAAATTTCACTTCTCCCCAGCTGAATTCTATCTCCTTTCACAACGTATTCCAGGAGGCTTAAGAGCTCGGCCAGTTGTGGGCAGGAAGCCCTGGTGCATCCGGGAGAATTCTATAGCAGGCAGAGCTGGAGGGCAGAGTTAAATGTGTCATCAGTTTGGAATCGTTGCGTCCGCATCCACGTCCAACCTCTCCTGAATTTTGTTGAGTCTTATCTGGTGCCAACTTAGTGTCAAACTTTAGTTGACCAGATTCTTATGTACAGGCTTGAATAAATTCTTCTATGTTGCAACCTGATTGGGTGGTCCTGATTCTTTGCGTCTGACACATTCCCCGGGAACAAGGCAAACTCTTGCTCTTTGCTGAGTGACCTTCTTACCTCCATAAAGACAGAGCTCATCAAGATGAAACCAATCTGTCTTCCTACATGATGGGAGAAAAGCACATCCTTCATCATGAGCCACAACCTCAGCGCATGAATCGCTAACTCAGCTATGCTCCTGAATTCTCTCTAAAATAAAATAACAAAATAGAAGAAAAACATTAACAAAAGGCTGTGTTGGCTTTAAAAAGTTTCAAAGCTGACCCACTAGACCAGGGGTAGGCAACCTTGGCTCTTTTATGACTCGTGGACTTCAACTCCCAGAATTCCTGAGCCAGCTATGCTGGCTCAGGAATTCTGGGAGTTGAAGTCCACAAGTCATAAAAGAGCCAAGGTTGCCTACCCCTGCACTAGACCTAGGACATCCAACCTTGGCAACTTTAAGACTGTGGACTTCGACAGAATTCTCCAGCCAGCTTAATTCCACCTAGAAGAAACTATGGCTTCCTCTAAAGATGCAGAATTTCAAGATGATGCGGTTGGACGAGACCCAAAGATTCTTGCTGTTGCTTTCCCATGCACAAAATACTGCCTGAGTGCAAGTCTCGGTATTCTGACTCCATAATTCCAACTCGGCTGGGATCCCCTGTGGAAATCCCTTCAAGCTATGGAACTGTTCATCCCAAAGAGATGCTTAACTGGAGAATATTACTGCAACGACATCTGTCAAACATCAGAATTCCACACACAAAGAAATGCTCAAGTGGACATTTCAGGTGCTTCGAGGACAGTTCCCGTGGGATTAGGAGTTACCCATCCATCTGAATAAAATTGAAATATTGTTACTTAGCTACTGAAGGAATAAAACAGATACCTGAACCAAGTTTGTCAGAATATCAGGGCTCCTAAACTCAAGTGGGTGTCCCAGATGCAGCTAATCCTTGACTTACTACCAATTGCTTATCAACTATTTCAGTTATGGTGGATCCCCAAAAGGTACTTACAACCCCTTCTGAGATCCTGACATTCAAGGCCACGCCACTCATAGTCACATAACCACATTTCTGCCACTGAGCAACTGGCTGGCATTTATGGCTGTTCGCAGCATCCCCTGGTCACGTGACCACAATATACGGCGTTTTTGCCCAAAAGTGGCATCTACTTCTGGCTTTTGGCAAAAACACCCCATAGTAAACAATGAGCTTACTTAATGACTGTGGATTCGCTTAAAAAAACCATGATGATTCAATAACTGCCACAAAAAAGATCATAAAATTGGGACATTTGTATCCATCATTATTTACGATCATAATGGGCTGGCTCCATTATGATCATAAATCAAGGAATAGCGATAGATAGAGATGGAGAGAGAGAGAGAGAGGACAGATTATAGATAAAAAAGAGAGAGAGCAGATAGGTGGATATAGATATAAGCAGTGCTTTTTTGAGAAAAAAAAAGTGCTGGAACTCACACATGTCATACAACCCGCCTTGCCTACCCTACAAGGTTCCATCCAAAAAAGGTGCTGGAACTCCGTTCTGGGCATTCTATGACAACAAAAGCCCTGGATATAAGATTAGATAGATAGATAGATAGAGAGAGAGGGGGGGGGGCAGGCAGGCAGGCAGACAGACAGACAGACAGACAGACATAGAGATGATAGATAGATAGACAGATAGATAGACAGACAGAGACAGACAGACAGACAGATAGACATAGAGATGATAGATAGATAGACAGATAGATAGATAGACAGACAGACAGACAGACAGATAGACATAGAGATGATAGATAGATAGATAGATAGATAGATAGATAGATAGATAGATAGATAGATAGATAGATAGATAGATAGATAGATAGATAGATGGATGGATGGACGGACGGACGGACGGACGGACGGACGGACGGACGGACGGACGGACGGACGGACGGACAGATGGTATAGATAGTAGTATAGTATAGATGGAGAGCAGATAGGTAGATGTAGATAGATATAGACAGTAGATCTATAGAGAATTAGAGATAGATAATAGAGTTGATGATGCATATAGATAGCAGAGAGAGAGGGACAAAGAGAAAGATCCTTTTAAAAATAACATCAACTTGCACCAGGAGCCTGGCACAACATCAAGGGAATTGCCAGTGTTGTTGTTCCTCATATCCCCAACTCAGCTTCCTTGTGCGTCAAAATCACCCCGACCTGCCAACAAACAGCAATCTGAGAACAAACCCAAAGTGACAGCCAAACAAAGTGACTCTGTTCCCGATTCCTGGAAACCTACAATGGCATTTTATGAAAAGGTTGCACAGCACTGATTTGCATGTTGGAAGCCGCCCATAAAGCTGCCAGCATAACAGAAAAGGGCTTTCTGTTGAAATAAAACAAATTATTTTTTCTTCTGCCTCCATGGAGTCAAGAGGATAGGAAACAGAAGAACTCTAATTGCTGGTAGATGCATAAATTACTTTTTCGAAGGAACGGGGGAGAGAGAGAGAGACAAGGGGCTCAGGTATCAGAGGGGTTTTTGAAGAAGGCGAGGCAGGAGAGCATCACATCCCGTGTCCCAGATTCAGACTGAAAGTGAGACATTTCCTCAAAAGCTTCCGTTCAAATAACAGTGGGGGGGGGAAATCTGTGGGTTTTAGGAGCAAATGCAGCCAGGCTAAACAGTGTATTAACTTTGATTTAATTATGGAATTCTTCAAATTTAAATAGCCACCCATCTCGCAAAACGAAACGGGGGAAAAAAAATCTTACACCTTTATTACACCAATAGCGAGTTTGTGTTTCAGATGCCCCAATAAAACCCTTGGGCTAGTTCACGCATTGCACCCAAGGAATGCATTGTCTTATTTACTGAATAAACTTCAATGCCAGTCTGCTAAACCAAAATAAACCAAGCTAGATCATGATTTTAGGTCATCGGTGGTGGTAGTGGCGATAGTGCAGGTTTAATTAATTACTTATGAATAAGCACGATTAATAGTTGCGGAATTGTCCTCCACAGCCATTCGGTGTCACAAGCCTAACATGGATTCTTTAAGTCTGATCTGACAAGTTATGGAACCCCACTTAGCTGAAAACCATAATGGTCTCTTCTGTTGAATGGATGCAGCCAGCCACAATTGTGTCATTAACCATGGCTAAACCAAAGGTGGTCTAGCCAATTGGGTAAAAACAGACATGGCCACGACCTTCCAAGCCAAGATATGGCTCTTAGTGGGGCTTGATTAATCATTCTCACTGTCAAAAAAAAGTTCTCCTTACTTCTTCTTCTACTCTTTTTTAACAAGCTTCCACCCATTGCTTCTTGTCCTATCCTCAGATGCTTTGGAGAATAAGTCAACAGCCCCTCAAGTACTAGAAGACAGCTACCATGTCACCCTCAACCTTCTCTGCCCTGGGACCTTCCTTTCACTGCTAGCTTGAACTTCTTCTCTTGATGTTTAGCCCACCTTTAGACTTGGTTGGGTCAGGCAATAAAACTCTGGTGCTCCCTTATGTCCTCAAAGCAGGACAGGTTACCGAAATCCAGTGACGACCTGGATCTAATTTCTGAAGTAGGTTGGATTCCCTCTTCCTGGTCAAACATGCTCCCATTTGCAGAGAACATTAAAACTCTTTGAGCATTGGTAGATGCCCTCTTTCCTTCCATTTCTTTAAGGCACTTTGACCCATAATGTTGTGTAGGAATTGTCCATCACCGATCCCTCAGGTGATAGCATACTGCACATCATCCTTTCCCGGTGCCTTCGGGTACTTTAGACCAAAACGTCCCACCTTGACAACCTAAAGACCTGTGGACTTCAGTTCCCAGAATGCCCCAGCCAGCATGGAGTGTTTACGTCCACTGGTCTTAAAGTTGCCAAGGTTGAACACCTCAGCTTTAAACTACGATTCCCATCACATCACAGCTAGCTCTGCGTATATTTTGTACTGAAAAAATGAAACACTCGTGGGATGAGTTACAACTGGTCTCTAACGAGTTCCTTTGAGGAAGAATGGAATTTTAAGAATAAATCCAGACAGACATTTAGACAGATATTCATCAAGTCCCTTGTTCAGGGATGCCAATGAAGGTATGTTTGAAATCCAGGCAGAAATTCCACCACCCTCATTTCATCTTCACCAAGACCCACGCATGAGTTCTACAGCCTCTTAAAGCAGGGCTTTTCAACCAGTGGCACGGGTACCACCTGTGGTACATTGGCACCTGGCAGGTGGTACGCGAGCATCCTAGAAAAGTGGTAGTGGGGGAGGGGAATGAACTGAACCGGTGGTAGCACCGCACAAGCCTGAGCGAGAGACGGCTGGAGCTGCAGGGCTGTCAGGGCTCAGTGGAAGCGCCAGGATCAGCGCCAGGCTCCAGCTGGAGCCTGGCGCTGATCCTGGTGCTTCTGCTGAGCCCAGAAGAAGCACCAATCAGCTGGAAAGCAGCACTGATCCTGGTGCTTCTGCTGAACCCAGAAGAAGCGCCGATCAGCTGGAATGTTGCAGCATCTCCAGGGTCTTGTGATTTACATTCAGATGCTTGGCAACTGATTCATATTTATGACGGTCACAGTGTCCCAGGGTCATGGGAAGTGACCAAACCTGCTGCAACCACCCAGCAGACAGGGGGAATAAAAACCAAACACCCCCCCACCCCACTCCCGCTGCCAATCCTCAACAGAAATACTCACAACAATGAAAACCTCGGACAGGAGGAAGAGCGCCGCCGGGCGGGCAGGCAGGTGTCTTGCTCGGCTGTGGCTTGGGGGGCACTTTTTTCAGTGCCACTGTAACTTCGAAGAGTCACTAAGCGAACTGTTGTAAATCAAAGACTACCTGTACTTTATCACTTTTTTCCTTTTTTGGGGGGGGGTCATCAAGTTTTTGACACCTTACTAGGTGACTGGTGGTACTCGGATATTGCCATAACCTAAAAGTGGTACAACGGGTGAAAAGGTTGAAAAGCCCTGTCTTAAAGGGCCGTAACAATCTCTTTCTGCTTCCTCTCTAGACACTTTTTGCACAAGGGTCCTTAGGCTTGTGAAAGGGCTGAGAATTCAAAAGGAGGCGTCCTTTCAGAGTGCCCTGTGTGCCTCAGCCAGTTTCGCTTTCAAATCCAGCCGTGCCCAAATCAAC